TCAATAATTCCTTCACAAAGCAGCCCAACACTCTCCCTTGCTTCACTTGCACTGTCTTCATAGCTGTGCAGACACTGTAACGATGGAATTTCTCTAGGGAACTATTTTCAGCTCCTATCTGCAATCGCTAGGTCATCCAATCAATAGGAAATGAAAAACTGCAACCCAGTGTATTCATCCAAAATTCAGCTATGAAATGCTTGTCCGGGGTAGCCTGTATATTATTTAATCGAGATCTTTATGACAACTTTTTTCCTCCATTGTGGTTGGTGATAAATGCAATCAATCAAAAAATATACCCAGATCAATCATCTAACCACTTTGAATTGTCTGGCAACTTGGATGAAGTGCAATGGAAAAATGAGAGCCATAATCAATGAAATTGGTAATGCGGCAGGAAACGATTAAAATACACCGGAGTGAAACATGACTCCCTACCTGTTCTGGGCTGGCACTACAGCCTGGCTGTATTAACTTTAAGTCAAAAGTTCACTGATATTTTTACGTACCTGTCTTTTTCATATTAATATATGCTACTTTATATGACTGGCAGTCAACGGCACAGATTACATCTACATTCTGTCATATGTACATCTCAAATTAATATCTTGGCTGGCAACTGGCATGAGAGGGAGGGTTTAATTCTGAGTCTAACCACAAATCTTTGATAGGTCATGATATATAAAGTAGAAACTTATATGAACCTCAAACTATTTTGAGAAATTATAAAAACTGTTGTGTCCATCTAGATTTGGTATAAAATTATTCTAAAGTACTTCAAGTTGTTCACAAAGATAGATATAAATACATAATGTAGCTATCATACATTTTAAGCCTTTTCTAATCTAAGCCAAAACTTGTTGCAGTAGAAAGAAATATAAGCAGTATGGTGGTAGTTCATGCTTATAATCTTAGGTTCTCAGAAGGCTGAGATCTGAGGGGCAAAGTTTGAATCCAGCCTTGGCTGACAAATCTGAGAGACTATTGCCTCTTATTTACCACCAACCCTCGAAGTGGAGGTGTGGCTCAATTGGTAGAGCACCAGCATTGAATGAAAAATGAAGGCAAAAGCATGAGATCTGAAGTTCACGCCCTGGTACCACCATTAAAAAAAGAGCATATACAACTGATTTATGTCCCAACTATTACATTATGTTAATGTCATAAAAATTCTGGAAAGAATGTTGTAGAAGAATTAAGAGTCAGAAGAACTTAGTTTTCCATGTGGACTCCAGTTTAACTATGTGACCCACTCAAGTTCAAAGTTATCATAGCCATTCCAAAGACACTTCATCCATAATATGGGATTATCAATACTATGAATCTATAATATGGGATCATACCTCTGTACCTCATTAAATTTTGTAAAAAGTAAATAACGTATGTGAAAGCATTTGGTAAATTATAAAGCAACCTATGGATCCTACCTAATTATGAATCATGATTCTTTAACATTTTCCAGCTGCATTGCAACACTGGAAAACATTTTCTATATCCTGTCACTGTTTAGATCTGAGCAGAGGGCTCACAAACACAACTCAGGTTTTCTTTGTTCTCTAACAAAGGAAATGATACAGCTAGAGATTAAGAGAGGCTACTGCTTCACACTACGGTACCTATTTTCCATGGAATAGCTTAATCAAGGTATAGATTCTTGCCAGAGCATTCTCAGTAAGTCAAGATCACTCTCCTTCAGCACTTCCTCCTACCTAATGAAGAGTTATCGAAATAAACATTCACTTATCTAACACACAATTATCCGTGAGACACGGGCAAGGACGCTGGTTGCACTGAAAACAGAACATAAAGTGTGTCTACAGGTGTCTGAGTGGTCACAGAAGACTTCATAAAGAAGGGGACCCTTGAGGAATAAATCCCTGCAAAGCTCATTCAAGGCTGGCGGTGTCATACCACTTCAGAATGTCTGACGGGTGAAAATATTTACATCAATTTTTACAATCATTTTTTTTTCCTTTTTAAGTTTAAATGCCTCAGAGGCACATGTTCTCACCAGCTTCTCAACTACTAGAAAAGCCATAAATAGGTGTTTGGACAGAGAAAAACAGTAGAGAGACAATGGGAACATACTATAGCTCAGGCTTTAGGTCAAAATTGAGCCTGTCTTTAACTTCCTAACTTGCAGTTCGGATGACCTTGGAACATCCTCTTGCCTCATCTAAGCTGAGATAGGAGAGAATGATGGTCAGGGCTGGACAAGGTGGCTACATTTTATAGAGGCTCCCTTCTTCCCCAAGCCACCTGCATTTTCCCCATCTCAATACTTACTACCAGGTAGTGTAACTACCTGACAAGTCATCAAGGACTTGTCCACAATCCCTGAAGACAAGGCCTGTTTCTTATTCACCTTAGAATGATTAACATGGTAGAATGATTAACATGTTAATCATTGAATAGGCACAGAATGGCTATTTCTAAAAGGAAGATACGCATGGAAAATATGCAAGCAGGATAGCAATGTTCAATTTAATTATTCAGTAAGTATTTATTAGCAACTATCACATAGTAGGTATTGTTGGGGTGTGTGCTGGTGCTAAACGTTGAACTTGGGGTCTCGTGTTCTCTCTCAGCTATTTTGCTCAGGGCTGGCTCTCTACTACTTGAGCCATGCCTCTACTTGTGCCTTTTTGTTTTGGTGTGTGTGTGTTTGCACATGCATACCAGTCCTGGGATTTGAACTCATGGCTGTGTGCTGTCCTTGAGCTTCATTTGCTCAAGGCAAAGACGCTACCACTTGAGCCACAGCTCCACCTCCATGCTTCTTTTCTTTTGCTAGTTAACTATAGATTAAAGCCTTGATGACTTTTCTTCCCAGGCTGGCTTTGAACTGAGATCTTGAGCTCTCAGCCTCCTGAGTAGCTAAGATTACAAGTGTGAGCCATAAGCAGAGGCAGTGCCCACAATGGACAAAACATCTTGCTCTCGTACAGCTTACATCTCGGTGTCAGAAATAGACAATAATAAGATAAGCAAAATGTATGGTAGGTAAGAACATTTTAAGAGCCGCTGGGGAAAAATTGAAATAGGGAAGGGAAAAAATGGAAGATCATGATTTGGGGGAACCTGAAAAAGTAGCATTTGAGCAAAGACCTGAGCAGGGCAGACAGTGAGTACTCCATATATGTGTCCTTCACGTGTTCAAGAGGATAATCCCCTCCTAGGCATCCTGGTTTTTACTCTGAGTGATGGGAAAGCCAGTGAGCACTTGGCAACCAGAGGGCCTAACATGCTAGCACAGTCGCTACTGGTGTGGGAGGGGACAGGTCCCTAAATGAAAAGTTCCATTAGGAAGCTGACTCAAACTCCAAGTAGGCTAGGTACCAACCAGAGGGTCACAACGGTAATCCTAGCTAATCAAGAGGCTGAGATCTGAGGATTGAAGTTCGAAGCTAACCCAGGCAGAAAAGTCCATGAGACTCTTATTGCCAAATAACCACAAAAAAAAAAAAAAAGCTGGAAACAGAGCAGAGGCTCAAGTGCTAAAGAAACTCAGAGATAGGGCTCAGGCCCTGAGTTCAAGCTCCAGGACAGTCACAAAAATAAAAATAAAATAAAATAAATAACAGTCCAGGTAGAAAAACGAAGATAAATTGGGTCAGGGTGACGAGAGTGGAGGTGTTCAAAATGGCCAGTCGGGGGCTGGGTTTAAGGTGCTAGTGGGATGCAAAATACATGGCTCCAGGACCAATATCCAAGCATTCTGAAGAGACTTCGTGGGACTTGAGTTACTTGGAATTCTACACAATTGCAATGCAGGTGGCAACTTCTGCTGAACAAGGAAGATCGCACTGCTGCTGAAGATCTTATCAGGCAGCACACAGCAACCACCATGGAGGACAAAAATGGTCCGATGGCAGCTTGAATACCATGACAGGTAGGGAATGCAGAGTGTATGCAGGAAAATCTTGGTGGCATCCTTCCCCAAGAGTGGGCATGAAGCCAGTGCCCGCCTATAATCCTAGCTACTCAGGAGGCTCAAATCTGAGGATCATGGTTCAAAAGCCAGCCAGGATAGGAAAGTCCATGAGACTCTTATCTCCAATTAGCCACCAGAAAAAGCCGGAAGTAGCACTGTGGCTCAAGTGGTAGAGCACTCGCCTTGAGCTGAAGAGCTGAGAGACAGTGCCCAGGCCTAGAGTTCAAGCCCCACACCTGACCCCCCCAAAAAATGGACATAAAACACTCATTCTCAGATGATGATCAGTGTAACACTAGTGGGAAGGGAATCAAAATGTCAGGGTATGAAAAGGGGAAGCTAGAAGGAAAAAATAGTGTAGATCCAATAAAGAAGACAGAGCTCCAGACTCCCTGGGACTCCTAGGAAGGGACAGGAAGAAGCCTCATCCACATTACGGAAGAGATGACCAGTGCAAGCCAGATGGGGCTCAGGTTGTTTAGGTAAAATTTGGAAAAACCTAGAAGCAACCTACTGAAACAATATCCTAGAGTGGGAAAATAAAGACTGTTAAAATTAAAAGCAAATTGTTACTGGGTACCAGTGACTGAATGCATATAATCCTAGCTACTCAGGAGGCTGAGATCTAAGGATCACAGTTAGAGGCCAGTCTGGGCAGGAAAAGTCTAGGAATATATATTTTTTTTCTTCCAGAAGCAGAGCTGTGGCTCAAATGGTACAAGTGCCAGCTTTGTGTGAAAAAGCTAAAGGCTAGCACCCAGTCCCTGGCACAATAAGTAAATAGATTATTTATAAATAAATAAAAACAGGAGACAACCTAATAAACATAAATGAATGGCATGTCATAGGACATTCTTCACGATCCACTCAAATCTACTAATTCCCAAAATGTTTGATTATGTATGTTCCCATAGCAACCACACATCAGTCTTGTTGATGGACATAATCAGAGGGATGCTGGCTGAAACACAGTATTTTTTGACCCCAGAGAGAAAGAAACACGAAGACGACATTGTTTTAAAGCTCCCAAGTTTCTTCTTTGATGGTATTAATGCTAACTAGGCACGAAGTCCCGTTGCTAAGGAAATCTTGAATTCCAAGGCGCTCACAGCCCGTGCAGGGTGAAGCGGCTACCGCCTCCCGCAGAGCCTGAGATTGTCTATTGATTCTCAGTACCTGCCAGGCTCTGTCCAAACCAAGCAGGTCAAGAACGATTTCGTACTAGGTATTGGCTATGCTCTTTTGGGCAATCCTGTTTCCTAAGGAACACAGCATTATTACCTTTTCACAGCATCCTTCATATCTTTCAGAATTCAAACGTGCATCCATCAAGCCAAATTTCCACATGCTCCCACTGCAAATAATTGCTAGCAAACCTTCACACAAGAGGCGCCCATCCAATGGAGAAAAGCCCACCAATGTTGCCTTTTATGTTACACAAAACAGAACACTCGAAACTTCAAAATAAAAAGTTTATATGCATAAACTAGTAATAAAAAAGTGAAATAAACTGAACTGGTTCTAACACTGTCAGTAAAAAAAAAAAAAAAATCAACATCGACAATTTAGCAAGAATGCTCCAAGCAGTCACAAATGAGATCTTTTCTGTTCAACATAACCTTCACCCAATTAAGCAGATGGAAAAGAGCATTTATCAAAGGGAAGTTCAAGTTACATCCAAGTTCGAGCTAAATCAAACATTTTCTTCCTAAATACCTTGAAGCAAGTTGATGGTATTCACTCCAGCTCACTGCTTTGTGGGTTTCTCTCCTCCTTGGCTTTCTAGACCCTTCTCTCTGCTCTTATCCCTTTGCAGGAATCTCCAAACCATTTGTTCTTCTTTATGTAATATTTATTGTTATCATAAAGGTGATGTACAGAGGGGTTACAGTTACATAATTCAGGTAAAGAGTACATTTCTTTTTGGACAATGTCACCCCGAGTACATCTCCTTTTGGACATCACCCCTTTCCGTGTTCTCCCCCAGTTTTTCCCTCCCATCTCACCCACAAGTTATATAGTTCATTTTTCAAATAGTATCTAATGAGTACCACTGCTGCATTTGTTCTTCTGCAAATGGGTCCTTTCTCCATTTCCATTCTCCATTTCCATTGCCAGCACCTGGAGCTCCTGAGCTAGTAGCTTCTTGATTTTGTTTCTGCCTTGCCTTCCCTGCACTCCAAACCTCCCTATGATGGTCCTTGGGTGAGGAATCCAGAATTCTAACAGCAGCAGCCCAGATGCGTGTCCTCCTCCTCACAGTGAGACAGAAGAGCAGACCCGATGGCCCTGTATTACTTAACCAGGAAATGAACCAGCACGATCTAAGCATGAGTTTCCTGAAAGTAGCAGAGTCATTCATCACCAACTGCACAAACTCCACACAGACCATTTTCCCCAGTTAGGAATTTTTCTTCTCCCATGTCTTCTGCGCCTGGCTAATCCCAGCCTCCTCTTCTGCTTCAGTACAATGCTCTGATCTCCGAGCAGGCATGTGGACCTCCATTTGCCCACAGGAGCACGGCTGCCCAGTGGCTCACTGGTGTCTAGCTCACTACAATGAGTGTTTTCTTTGGCAGATGCCCTCCTTGTCCTCACAACCAACCACATTTCAGTCCAGACACATTGTGTGCTCTGTAGCATCTGCATAAAACATCATTTTCAACCAAAGCATGAAACTGAAACAAACGTTCTGTTATCAACCCCATGATCTTCCCAAAATACCATTCTGACTTTGAAAGGAAAAAGCATCTGTATCAACAGAAGCCAGAAGTCAATAGGGAATAGGTTGGTGTCGCCAGCTTGGTAAGCCAGTTTGGCTTACTTGGGAGCATCTTTGAAGTTGGGTCCAACTGAGTCCTAGGCTCAGTCATCACCAGGCTGTGCTACTGACCCCAAAAGTGTGTGTGTGTGTGTGTGTGTGTGTGTGTGTGTGTGTGTGTGTGTGTGTGTGTGTGTGTGTGTGTGTTGGAACTCAGGCTTGAATTTACAATGTGGGCACTGTCCTTTAGCTTTGTGCTCCACACTGACACTCTACCACTTGAGCCACAGCTTCACTTCCTGCTTTTGGGTAGTTAATTGGAGATGACAGTGTCTCCGATTTATCTGCACAGGCTGGCTTTGAACAACAATCCTCAGAGCTCATTCTCCTGAGTAGCTGGGATTACAGAACAAGTCTTAGGAGAGTATCTCAGCCACAAAGAGGCAGAGTCCTCTCCCCTTAGCTATACCTCAGAGGTAGCCATATCCCAAGGAGATGGAAGAGAGTTAGGTACACTCACAGCTTCTGTATCCTGGGCTTGCACTTAGCTTATGGCCCTGTATTGGACACAGGAAATTTTGACAAAATCTGATGAATAAATGCAGCTTTCTTTTTTTAAAACTCAGTGCCTAGCTCCCTACCCTGTTCTGGATCTTCTCTGGCTTCAAACGTTTCATGGTCACTTAGCTCTCCCACAGCCACACACCCTCTTTCAGTGGTGCTTTCCTCTGACCACCAGCCACGCTTGAAAGTGTGGCTCGCATTGGCTCCATCTGCTCTCACCTCCTCACACCCCTGCATGGGCTCCTGGTCCATCAAATTCATCAGCAAACTTACAACCAAAGAGAGAACACACTAATTACCTCCTGCTTCGTCTGTCCTCCCTGCAACCTTTAATAAAGGTCTCAAAGTTCTGCCTTCAATTCTAGGACCAGATTCAGAGCTCTCTGGCAACTCTTATTCTGTATTCTTCACTAGTATGCTCTCTCTCTCTTTCTCTTTCTCTTTCTTTCTCTCTCTCTCAAACACACACACACACACACA